TTTTAAGTTGGGGTATTTACACACATACCACCTAGTTCTTGTGTATTTACATATCAAACACCTAAATTTTACTTTTTACATTTAAACCACCCAAATATTTCATATCACATAAAAAATACCACTATTTTAACTTCTAAAAAGTGAAATACATATTGGCATATATGTAAAAATTGAAGTTTAGGGGTTAGATATGTCAATACATATGAATTAGGTGTATGTAAATCTTCCTTTTAACTTTACTGAACGTTTATTTATAATGGGAGCGATTGAAACTCTATATTCACTAATAAATTTCTTAATGAGCCATTCCATTTTAAAGGAACCTAGTCATGCATGAACTCAACCTACCATTTACAATCTGTGACGGCCATGCAAAAATAATTAACTATTGCTTAGAGCCTTGTCGTCATTTTGTTCTATTGAACAACCTAAAAGCTATGGAGCAAATGTCTTCCTTCTGCCAAAAGGTGTTTAACAGAAGCTTCCACTCTTCTATTCAAATGACTCTTTATAAACTAGTTATGGCTAGTCACCATTTATGTAATCTCGAATATGCATGGCACCACTAAATTACATCAATATCATGGTCATCATTACTATGATCAATATTTTCACTATCATCAATATTGATATCATCAATAAGAGAATCTCTAGGCTTGTCATCCAGAAACTTGTTCGGAAATACCATAATGAAAGGAACGTAGGAGTTTATTGCTAGATACTTGACTAAACAGGATCGTCCAGTTCCTATAGAACCTATCACTAAAATGCCTCTAGTAGGAGATAGGGCTAAGCGGAGCGAAAGGGTTTTCCATGAGGAGATGGGGAATGAAAAGTATTAGCCTCACTCGAGGTTTGTGAATAAGTGATTGTATGATAATGTGCAAGGAAAAGCATTCTTTCTGCTAAACAGGATCTATTAAACTCATAATTCATTAGATCCTTCTGATAAATGTCAACTAAGTATCCTAAGGAAATTGATTTTGGTTGTTCAATCATTTGATAACTTGTCATTTTTTTGATAAATAATCACTATGAGTCTGACTCAATAGAATTTGATCAATAATTTTTTCTATCGTTAAGGTGGAGAATTGAACCAAGAATTCTTTTTCTTCATAATCAGTTGAATCATTGTTCCTGACTTAGAATTCTATTTTCTCATCAATCCAATTACCGTTCATGTTTCTTCTTTTTCTTATCAATTAATATATCTCTTTACTTGTACAATTTCGATGTCTCGTATTGCTTGAAAAAATGACCCAATTGATGGGATTTTGTATGATACTTACAAGATCGATGAGATTGATCTTCCAATATTTCTAATATTTCTTCTTAGAGCGCATTGATTTGATCTCATAAGCGGGACCACCACTCAATAGCATGTTGCCACCAGAAGTAGAACCCCGTATTTCTTCTAGAGAATCTTCTAATTGTTCCAAAACAACTAGAAAGAAATTCTTTAACATAAAGGATTTAGTTCTTATGTAGGATACTTATCCAATAGTTATTGAAATTCTATCATTTATGATAAAATCATCAAAGATTTCATCTTTTCTAACTTGGTCTATAACTCATTAGAGGCATGGGAAACAAAGAGGTGTATGCGAATGAGATATCTAGTAACAACAAGGAAAAATATGGAGTAGAGAAACCCCCGAGCATTTGTTGATCTCAGATGTGCCCATAAGTAGAGAAACCCCCGAGCATTTGTTGATCTTAGATGTGCCCATATCAATGGAACGGGTGACTCAACGTGTGACTTATTATTTCAATTAATCATTTCTTCTGACAAAGAAGGTTCTGTAAACATTGACTCGAAACCTCATTAATCAGAGTGCACTGTTGAAGTCACGCGTAAATTAATGGAATTGGTAGCTATTATGGTTCACTGTAAGAAAAATATCCTTTGCATTCAAGAAACTAAAGGAGTGAGAAAAAAAACTAAGGAGATTGATTACTTAGATTTTAAATTTTGGTATTTAAGTAGGAGTCTTGCAAGAAATTGTGTAGGTGTAGTATGGCCTTAAAAATTATTATTGATACTAAGATTTTTAATGTTAAATGTGCTTATGCTCCTCAAGTAGGTTTAAATTTATGTTCAAAAGAAAAATTTTGGAATGATATAGAAAAATTAATACACTAATACCTCTTGAAAAAAAAATTATTGGATAAGATTTAAATATACATGTTGGTTGAGTGGAAGATTTTAGAAATATTCATGGTGGCTACGATTTTGAGGTGATTAATGAAGAAGGTATTATATTGGATTTTGCTTTAGCTTATGATTTTTTTATTGTTAAGACTTTATTTAAGAAAAAAGATGACCTGCTTATTAATTATAAGAATAAATATAATAAAACACATTGATTATTTTTTTATGAGAAAATGTGATCATTGAGAATGTAAAGATTGCAAGGTCATTTCAAGCGAAAATTTAAACACTCATCAATTATTAGTTCTGGATTTTAAGATGAGTTAGAAGATAAAAAAATACATTGAAACATTTTCATATAATCAGATAGAGGCGCCTAAAATACACTGAAAACTATTTTATGAGCAAACTTCAAGATTTTAAAATTTGGGATATTCTTGAAGAAGTTAATTTTAAGTGGGATAAATTGACAAATACTATTAAACAAGTGACAAAAGTTGTACTTAGAGAATCAAAATAAAAAACTTTTATGAATAAAAATAGTTTGTGGTGGAATAATAATGTGCACGAAAATATAAAATAATAGAAGTTTTGTTATAAAAATTTGTTTAAATGTAAATGTTTAGAAAATTGAGAAAAATACAAGGTGACTCGTAGGTAGACTAGGATAAAAATTTATGATTCTAAGAATTCTGTTTTTAGTGTTTTTTATAATATATTAGATTCTAAAGAGTACGAAAGACTTATGTATAAACTAGTCAAATAAAGAGAAAAGAAAAGTAAAGATTTAATTCAATCTTATTAAAGATAAAAATAAAAAAGTAAATTTCTTAGAGGAAAATTTTCAATATATGTGGTTGAGATATTTTGATAAACTTTTCAATGAAGTTTTTGAAAATATAATAAATCTTATTGATTTTAATATCGTTAATAATAAAAAAAAAAATTTGTTTTACTATCGTATTAGTAAAAAAAGAAGTTGAGGGGGCTTTAAAGAAAACTAAGGGTAGAATATCAGAAGGATTGATGGCATTTCAATAGAAATGTGAAAATATTTAGGAGATTTGGAGTTTCTTGGCTTACTAAACTTTTAATATTGTTTTAAAAACTAAAAAAATGTCGAGGAGTGGAGGAAGAGTATTTTGATCCCCTTTCTAAGAATAAAGGTGCAAATTATAGAGGAATTAAGTTAATGTGTCGTACATTAAAATTATGGGAGAGAGTAATTGAGTATGGGATTATGACATGATACAAAAATTTCTCAGTCTTAGTGGATTCATGTCGGGCAAGCTTACCATGGAAGCCATACATTTATTGAGAGGTTTAATGGAGAAGTACAGAGAGAATAAGAAGGATCTACATATGATTTTATTTATTTAAAAAAGGTTTAGATAAGGTTCTAAGAGATGTTATTTGGAGAGTTGTAGAAAATAAAGGTATCGATATGACTTACATTCAAGTCATTAAAGATATGCATACTATACCTTTTACTTGCGTTCGAATAAGATGATTGACCAAGTATTTTCCTAATTCAGTTGGATTACATTAGGGATCGGCTTTAAGCCCATATCCTTTTGCTTTAGTTATGAACGCTCTTACTGGACATTTACAGGAGGATGTACGTTGGTGTATGCTTTCCTTGGATGATTTTCTTCTTGTGGATAAGTCTAGAGAAATAGTTGAGGAAAAACATGAATTATGAAGGTCTTCATTAGAGTATAAAGGACTTCATTTGAGTAGATCTAAAACTGAATTCATGGAATGTAATTTTAGTAGTGGTAGATCTAGTGGCAGAGTTATATTAATGAGTGATCAAATCATTAAAATGTTTGAATATTTTAAATATTCTGGGTCTATTGTTCAAAGTGATGGTGATATGGATGGTAATGTTATTAGTAGAATTCAAGTTGGAGGGTTGAAGTGGAGGAATGCATCGGGGAATGCATCGGGCATATTGTGTAGGAATGCATCGGGCATATTGTGTGATAGAAAGTACCACTTAGAAATTTTATAAGATGGTGGTAAGATGGTGGTGAGCCCTGCAATGCTTTATGGCTCAGGATGTTGTTCTTTAAAAGAGAAGCATAAAATATAGTGTTGTTGAGATGAGAATGCTTAGTTGGATGAGTGACTTAACACTTAGAGACAAAATGCAAAACGAATGTTTCCGTGAAATGGTCGGTGTAGCTCCAATGGTAGACAAGATTAAAGTTAGTTGTCTTTGATGGTTTGTTCACATTAAATGTTGACCTTCTAATGATTCACTTGGGAGAGAGGATGTTATAGATTCGACTTATGTTAAGAAAGGTTGAGATGGATCTAATAAGACTTGGGCATGTTGTATGAAAAATTATTTTAATTTATAAGATTTAAATGAAAATATGTCACTCAATAGAACACAATTGGAGAAAAAGGATTATGTAGCCAACCCCACTTAATGGGATAAAGTGTTATTATTGCTGACTAGCCAAGGAATTTATACTCGGTTTGCTAAAAAACCTGCTACCCAAGCACCAGATAATGTGGCATGATTGTTTGGGTCGTCAGAAATTTGGGCATCTATTCCTGGGTTTTAACTGCAATATGATCAAATTATTGTCCCTCTTTATAAAAAAAACAATAAAAAAATAAGTTTCCTTTTCATCAAGAAGATAAACTATGGGGAAGTTTTTTGATGAATATATGTTATTTCTTTATATTACATTTTTGTTTATCAATACTGAAATGTGTGATTTTTGCACTCTGCTTTACATCTTTCTTATTGAAAGTGCTGAATTTGCTAGATAGGCTGAAGATGTAGAGTTTTTGTTTAGGTTTTTACTGGTTTTGATGGTTTGCAATGTCACAGGTCTGTACCAAGGAGGCATATGGAAGATCAGGGTGGAGCTTCCTGATGCTTACCCCTACAAATCTCCCTCAATTGGTTTTGTGAATAAAATATATCACCCAAATGTGGATGAAATGTAAGTTTTTTTATTTTTTATTTTTTTCCATTCGAGAACTCATCCTCACTGTGTTAATTCAGTTAAATAATGAGCATTTACATACACATCACACAATTCTTATGTTTTAAATATCTCACACCGAAACTTTCGTATTTACACACATTGCACTCAAATCTTAAGATCACATAAAAAAATAGCACTATTATCACTTTTAAAATTAATGTATAGCTTTTCATGCATAGGTTTAAAGCACCAAAGTGATAAATATGTAAATATGAACGTTCAGGTGTGAGATATGTAATTACATAAGAATTTTGTGATGCGCATGTAAATTTCCCTTAAAATAAATACTTTCCAGGCTTCTCATAGATTTTTTTTTTTTTCTCAAGGTCTGGATCTGTATGTTTGGACGTCATTAACCAGACTTGGAGCCCTATGTTTGGTAAATGAGCTTACTACTGATTCACAAGATCATGATTATTAGCAGATATTTCTAATATTAATCCTAACTATTTTATTTGTCCTTCTCAGATCTTGTGAATGTATTTGAAGTTTTTCTTCCACAACTTCTCTTGTATCCAAATCCTTCAGATCCATTGAATGGAGAGGCCGCTGCTTTAATGATGCGGGATAAAACTGCCTATGAACAAAAAGTAAAAGGTTAGCTTGCTGTAATTTTGAGGAAAAAATATCAAAATGCCCCCCTGACTCTTTCTAGAGAGTCATTTTAGTCCAAAAGTACATAAAAGTATCAATTTATTGTAATGGGGGCTAAAATAATCCTCTATGGAGATTATTTCAATTCATATTATGACTAACTTGACAGTTTTATAAACTCTATGGCTAAAATATCTCCATGTAAATAGTTAGGGGAATATTTTGGCACTTTGCTCGTGTAATTTATATTTTTTAACTGTAATTTTATTGACTTATTCTTGTATGAAAATTCAAAAGATTCTGTTGGCAATCTACTTATGCCCCACTTTTTGAAGCGAAAGTAATAGAGTAAGCCGCTTTCTTATTAGTTATTGAATTAATTTCGGTGCCTCGGTTCTGAACGCGAGATGCATCATGTAATTAGCCTAAATATTTTTTCAATCAAGGAATGAAGGGCTTTTCTATAATTATTATTGATTTGAACACTCTTTTAGTTTGTACATTTTCATTTTATTGTTGATTTAATCTTAAGTAGAATGCCGAACAAATACTTTAATTAACTATTTGCTTTTTTGTGGCTAAATGGAGACCATCTTTTTCGGCTTTCATTGGCGTTCTTAGAAAAGCTCTCCAAGAATTAAAGTCTCTCAGCTATCATTTATTTGTTGATATAGTGTGAACATTTTCTCTTACTTGTCTGGATGGTGGATTAAAGTTTTGATGATCCAACCATTATAAATTCCCTTTCTTTATTTTCTCATGGAGCAACTTCAACGCCTTGATATCTTTTTTTTTTTCCTTCTTTTCTTTAGATCTTATTGGAAAGCTAGATTTCATCGTTCATATTTCTTGGCCTTGTCTGAAATTTGATCGTTGTTGGAGCAAAAATGAGCTATGATATATTGAAATCCATCACATAGTTCGACATTCGTAGAGTCTCATCCTCAGACCAGCTTTAACTTAGGGCATTCCTTTGATAGCAACCTGACTCTTTGAAGTGGTTCGTTTTAGTCCCAGAGTCGATGGAAGCGTCAATTTAATCCCATTTTTTAAATATAAGCTGTTATAGTCCTCAATTATTTCAGCCTTGATTTATAAAATTTGGGGAGTAATTTGACACTGTTATAGAATCCAGGACTAAGATGGCCCCATATGAACAGTCAGAGGATTATTTGGACACTTTAGTCCAATATTTTGTTTCCCGAAGCCGATTCGATTTTTGAATAGAAGGCTTTCACCAATATCATCTTTTTCTTGTCATTCTAGTCTCTTTGCTGATGATGCTCCTCGAAGCTCCATTTTATTTGCCTCAAGCTGCTGCTCATACCCACACCAAGCCCTTATTGAAGATAAACTATTCCCCTAGACCTAACGTGAGAGAAGTTAGGATAACAAAGGGCAAAGTAATATTTTAAGAGGGACAAAATTGATATTTCAGGAGGGCAAAAGGCTGAATTGCCCTTTCATATATAAGTAAAAATTTGAATTTGAGGGGAGTCAATTGAGCTAGGATAACAAAGGGCAAAGTAATATTTTAGGAGGGACAAAACTGATATTTAAGGAGGGCAAAAGGCTGAATTGCCCTTTCATATAAGTAAAAATTTGAATTTGAGGGGAGTCAATTGCTCCCCCTAAACCCTACCTGGTCCCACCCTTGGGCGGGGGAGGGGGTGGTTGCAATAACCTATGCAGTGAATTTGGAAATTGGCCGAATCAGTTGATTTCGAAATACACCAAATTTGAGCTAAATGGTGACTTCAAATTCATAAAAACTTTACATCCAACTAAATGCACAAATCTCACTATTACCTCTATTGATTTGAATGGCATGCATGTAAATATGAATTTTAAGTTGTTAGACATGTAAATGCATGATGTTTTTTATGCTTTTAACAGAGTATTGTGAAAGGCATGCGAAGCATGAAGCAGCTGGAGCTTCTCAGGAATCAAGTGATGATGAGATGTCAGACGATGAATATGATTCCAGTGATGAAGCAGTTGTTGGGAAGGCAGATCCCTGAAAAGGTCATAATTCCACTTCTCCAAATTTCCCTTAAAATAAATTTGTAAATTGAAATTTGGCACTCCCAGCTATTACTTCATTGTGTTGCATAAATAGATGTAAATTCATACATTCTGCAAGGTTGATTTTGTAAATGTTGGATTATTCTGCTAATAAAGTTATTGCCATAGCTTTATTTGCCTGTAGCTAAGTTCTGTCTAGCTCCAAAACTGATATTGATTTCATTTTATAGTCCAATGATTTATTCCTTTGCATATGATATAATCAAATCATTAATCCTATATTTTGTTTATACTTATACCACCCAAAGTTTTCATCACATTAAAATTACCATCATTTTAACTTCATAAAATGTATGCATTTTTTTTTTTTTTCAATAGGTGATGTATAAAAATTGAAATTTAGGTGTTAGATGTGTAAATACATAGGAATTAAGTGGTATGTATGTAAATCTTCCTTTAAAAAGTTCATATACTATTGAATAGGAATAATTAATGACTTAATCAATTTTTTTTGCTCGGAATAATAAAGTTCTTTTATTTTAGAAAGAATATAATATAAAATTTGATTGATTTATTGCATATTATATTTATCTTAAAAAGGCTTGTTCATAAACACCTCACATTTTCTTATAAACTTGTAATTAATATGTTAGTTAATAGAAGTAATTTATTTTAAGTAGGAATCAAAGTTTCTCAACATAAGAAGCTATTTGGCATCATTGAAGCATTTTACATTCTTGACATGATTTTATTGTAAGCATTGAACATTATAAATTTTTTAGTACAGAATTGAGCATTTTTTGTGAACTATTCTGCTTTCAAAAACAAATTGAAAACAAGATAAATTCAGAAAATTGCAAATAATAATACAATTTGCACTGAGTGCATGCATCCATTACAACTCAATGATATAACTATTAACTTGTAAGATGTAGTTGGACCTTGCACACATATTTGCTTTTGTATCCCTAAATTCTAGCAGTTTTTTTTTTTTTAGTTTTTTTTATGAAACAGATATAGATTTAAGGATGGTCATGTGACTTATCTTTAGAATCTGTTGAGGGCTTATGAAAAGAGAAGTCTTCGTCTCTCTGCTCTTCCTCTAGCTTCTCACTGAGCTCATCTAGTTTAAATTCCGCTACACCGTGCTTAAAGGTTGGCATCATCAGATTGACGACATGCGAAAAATCAACCTTTGTATCCAAATCATCTCTATTTGTGAGATTTGTTGAGTCTCTCATCGCTACCGGGCGTTCGATTTCACTGTCAGAGTAGTATCTTGAGTCGGCGAAGCGATGCAGGTGAATCGATGATGAGCTGGGGCTCGTCATTGGAGTTGAGCTTGGACTTAGGGTGGGGGAACGGAACGGCGATCCCTTCTTGTGCCGCTTTCTTACGGCTTGATGCCATTTTTTCAAAGCTTTGTTCGTTTGCGCGTCGAAAATGGATCTCTTCATGTGTGATCCCATCTGTAAAAAGAAGAACTTAAGGTAGATTACATATATATACCCCACAATTCTTATGTGTTTATATATCTAATACATAAATCTTCATCTTTATAACATTATTGTGTTCAAATCACATATTTCACAATAAATTAATTAATATTAGTAATATTTTTGGTGTGATCTACATACATACATACATACATACATACATAGATATATATATGTTTAAAATTTGCACAGCGCTACAGAAAGGGAAGAAATGGACCTGAGATACAAGCGCATAAAGAGGGAGAGTGATGTAGCTGCACATAAATTGGACCACCCCCCTGGAAAAGGCACAGCACCAACAAAATTAGTTTGATGAAAAGCCATATATTATCAGATAAATTAGATTTAGATATCTACATGTCAGGTGGATCTTTTAATTTTCACTACTATCAGGAGTCAGTTTTGTATAACATCATTACCATTTCAATTTTTTTGTCAGAATGTAATGAGGAGGATTTACATACCTCAATTTTTAAGCATATATGCATCTAACACCAAAATTTCAATTTTCATTAATTAGGAGGATTTACATAAACACTGCTCAATTTTTATGCATATATGCATCTAACACCAAAATTTCAATTTTCAATACATACCATGAAAAGGTGGCATTTGTGATGTTATATGAAAGATTTGAATGGTGTAAAAGTAAAAAAGGTAAAGTTTGGATGTTGGATATGTAAATACATAGGAATTGGGTGGTATGTATGTAAATGCCCTATTTAATAGATATAATAAGTACTTCTCAATCTCAGTCAACTTAAGCCCACCTCAAGCCCTCTTTAATACTATATTTTAGTGAAATAAAGATTTCAATAGTAAAAAAAGGTGCATTTACATATACATCTAAAATACCACTATTTGACTTTTAAAAAGCCAAATACACCTTTTCATGCCTAAGTGAGGTTCCATATATATATATATTGAAGTTCATGTGTTAGATATGTAAATACATAAGAATTGAGAGGTATGCCTGGAAATCTTCCATTCAAAAATTATGAGACATCACTACTGAAATAAAAACTGATAACCGATTCAAAATATGGTGCTGGAGTTTGCTATGTAAGTCGATAGATCCTATATGGCCAATGAATTAGTTTGTATGTGCTGTTAAAGGATGTTATTGTGCCAAGTAATGCTAACCCTTAAATCAAACTATATAGCAATAAATTAAGCAATACATGATGCAAGATATGAGTGCTGAACCTCATATATACATCGCAAAATGAGTCAATCGAATGTGGCAAAAACAGTGAAGAAATGCAACGATGCATAGATCGAACTTAAACCCATTGATTGTTGTCAAAGATGTTCAAATGATGTTTGTTTGCAAAACGGATCACACGAGCGCGTCCAAAGCATCAAAATTATTGTAGAGATGACCTTCAACAATTAAGTGTGCAAATAAGATGAAAAATGGTGGATGGCCAAAGCGAAGTATGTGATTAGGACACAAACTATGTCAACTATTGCCGAAGTTGCGTAAACAAGCTCTGATCATAAATGTACCATGTGAGTGCTTCTGAAACATTGAGATTACCTAAAGAAGAACCTGTTATAGGAGCAAAAATGATGAAAATGATGGTACCCAAAATGCAACATTGTGTAAATAAAAGATAAGGTGACTTGAAAAGCGACAAAATTGCCCAAATGACATCCGACCATAAACAAACTGCGTAGATGCGTCAGAGATATCGATTAGTTTGGAATGATTTTAGAATGATTTTGGATGATAATTCCCTTAGATCTACAAAGATTAATTCCCTTAGATAAACAATAACCCCATGTCTACAAAGTTCCTTAGGACAAAGTGACTCATGGCTACTGAAAAGAATTCTCTTATGAGGTTGGGACAACTAGCTCCTCTAGCTAAGTACATGGGACCATGGCAGCTAGGGATGTCGGAACCATGGTATCTTGATTGGGTTCGTCATCATTTCCCCCACCATCCTCTTTCAAGCTCACGATGATAATTTCATAATTTAAAAGCTTAAATTTATTGTTTCTATATGCTGAGTTTAAATACTTAGTGCCTAATTACTAGCTTTAATCGAAAGTTTTCGACCTTTATTGGGAGAGATAATTAGCCATAGGGGCTTGCGCCTATGAGAATTCTCGAACCTAATATCTTACAGTCCTCACAAAATGAGGGTGAATCTCTGCATAGTGTTAGATATGTATGAATTGGGTGATATGCATGTAAAAAAGCCTATATACACTCCATTATCAATTATTATGGAAAGAAATAATTTCTATGTTACATACAATATAAGAGAAGAAACCTTCTTAATGAATGAATCTACAATAAAATAGAATACAACCCCAACCCCCTAGATAGCCTTTTGTTCATTTAATTCTACTCCTATGATATTTTATCAATACTATTTTCTAAAATAGCTCCATCACCATTCTCTCTAAAAAATAAAAATGATATAAAAAAATAAGCATATCTAATCAGAAAACATGTAGTTGATAATTGGTGTCTTCGGGGAAAAAATAAAAATAAAAATAAAAGAGAACTTACCCGAGAAAGACTCGTCCGATGATAAACCCAAAATTTTGGTGGAAGCAAGATCTCAAGCCGAAGTCATACTATACAAGGTAAAGTTAACCATAAAAACCAATCATCTTTAAATCAAAAACAAGAAATTAGCTATAAAATCATACTTTGACTTAGGACAAATTCCATACCCATATCCAGAAGAAATAGGTCAACTGAAATGCATTCTGCATAAAATATTTAAAATGTCAGACTTCAGATTGTAATTTTATTATCTATTTATTTATTTTGCATTATCACATAATCAAGTCATGAGAGCAGTTATATCGCAAATACTAAAAAATATTGGTAACTTTCGGAAAAAAGTAACAGAAAGGAGAATAGGAACCAACCATAAACAATGTGAAATGTATTAAAGAAAGAACAAGACCAGGATTCTTGAACCAAAAATGATTATCACTTAGCTGAACCAAAGGAACTCCTTGAACAACAGCATGTTTTTCTTTAATTTCTATCGCCATTTTCGCAATTATCGCCTGCAGATTCGTCCCAATAGCCAAGAGAATCTGCAAAAGCGAACAAAAAATCAATTCTTGAAGAATTTTTTGCAGGCCAGTTATTGGTAAAGATCAATATAGGAAGATTTACATACATACCACTCAATTCCCACGTATTTACATATCGAAAATCTAAACTTCAGTTTTTACATGCATACTACCTTTCACAGGTATGAAAAAGGTGTATTTCACTTTTTTTTTTCCCTAAAAGGTTGTATTTTTTATGCGCTATGAAAGATTTGAGTGGTATAAATGCAAAGATCAAAATTTAGGTGTTGGGTATGTAAATGGATTTTACAATTGGGGGAAGTAGTGACACCCAGAATAGTTCCTTCCATCCTACAATAACAAAAGAAAATGTGAGTTTGTTTGTTAATTGGATGCTTCGTACAAAATGCTGCAGAAAATTATTACTTGCCGTGAACATTAAGCAGTAAAAAAACAACCGCAGATGCCCACAGAAGAGGTCTGAAAAAAAAAATAGGAATGAGCCAAAAAAAAGGAGAAAGATTCACATACATACCACTCAATTCTTATGTATTTATATATCTAACACCTAGACATCGAATTTTACATACATATCACCTTATCTATGCATGAAAAGTTGTCTTTCACACTTTAAAAAGTTAAAATTGTGGTATTTTTTATGTGATAGTAAAGATTTGGGTGATATAAATTGAGAAGGTGAAGTTTAGTTGTGGATATGTAAATACGTAGGAATTGGCTGGTATGTATGTAAATGTCCCCCCTTCCTCCCCCAAAGAGAGAGAGAGAGAGAGAGAGAGAGAGAGAGCGAGAAAATAAAGAAAAATCAAAGGTGGCATTAATCACAATGAACTACAAGTTCATAAGAATCGATGCTTTAAGATTCTCAATATTATTAGAAGATTTACAAACATACCATTAAATTCCTATGTATTTACACATCTAACATCTAAGTTTCAATTTTTACATATATGCAATCTTAACTATGCTTGAAAAGGTGTAGTAGTAATTTCAGAAGTTAAAACTTGTGGTATTTTTTATGTGATATGAAAGATTTGGGTGGTATAAATGTGAAAAGTAAAGTTTAGGCATTAGATATGCACATACATAGGAATTGAGTAGTATGCATGAAATGCCCCAATATGATTTTGTGGAAAATCAAAGGTTGGGAACAGAGGAGCCAGTAATTTACAGTACCTGATTACAACTACTACCTTGAAGTCGTCTTCCAGTGACCTTTTTATATATTTTTGGAAATTAAATTTGCTTCCAGAAGCCAAATGGACCTGAAAACATGTTCTGGGATACAAAATAAAAAGAGAAAAAAATGAAAATAACATTTTTCTTGCAACTTACATTTATGAAACCATGACGGAGAGTAAGGTAATCTGCTTTTCGAACAGATCTGAAAAATTGGTGGAAGAAACAAACCTGTAACACAAGCATAATTAAATAGTAGCCATAAAAAGTTTAACAAACAGATGTGTATGTACATATGTGGAACTGGAACCAAAAAAAAAAAAAATTTCAAGGGGTACAAATTAATAATTTCCAAAACAACCTCAATCTTAATGTTAGTCCCATGGGGTAAAAAAATTAGTATAATGATTTTGATGATAATAAATATATACCCAAATATGTAGCAGCTCGTGCGAAACCGATGTTCATTCAAGATACAAGTTGGTCTATTCAAATGCCAGCTCAGTAGAAATTATTGGAGTAGACGTACTACTCGCCGACTTGCCACAAATGTTCATCAACTCACTGTTGATCTCTTTTTTATGAGGTCTGTCTCTTTCTTTTTAGAATCTAAGATCTAGCCTTAGGGTTTTCCTAATAACTCTCCTAGAGAACTAGTGTTGAGACTCACTCTAATTAGAAATTTAATCATTTCTTAACTCATTGTAGTCTCATATTCTTGGTTTTAAATCCTCAACAATTTGTTAGGTTGATTAAGACCAACATTTTGAAACTCAAGTGAAGTTCCTATAGGTTTGAAAGGCCCTAGGAAAACATTATGAGTTTAGGGGTTTAGGTCTGGCGGTGATTGTTCCTTTGAAGCACCTTCACTTACTATCACTCACTTTTAGATAACTCTTTTCTTAACTTTTAGGGAGCTCATTTTGATTATGAAGCACTCTTTAAGATAAGAAAGGTAGCTATCTATTTAATAATAAAAACCATTAAGAAAAAAATTATTTTCTTTTAATTAAAAAATCATTAAATCATTAAATCAAAATTAATATAAAAGAAAAAATCTTTCAAAAATCTATAAATACAATCTTTAAAATTTTCAAAATAAAATTTAATAAATCCACAAATATAAAAATAAAAAATATAATAATACAAATACTTAAAATTTCACACACATATACACCATTCACTTGATAAATATCCCCAAATTTACACCTATTCCTTTGAGTTCATTCTTGGCCACTCTTCATACCTATAACCCATTTCACGAACCCATCATGTTTGAATTAAATCTAAATTAACCCAAGTTTGAATCAAAATGAACCCATTTTGACACCTAGTTTGAAGCCACCTTCAAGCTACCATTTCCAAATCAGTTTAATACATTTTTGAGCCACCCTTTGTGTTGAGCTTATCCATGACAATTCAACATTGATTCATCTCATTTGTGAGCCGAATTTGAATTGATCTATAAGCCAAATTTAAACCCAAATGGAACTATACTTTAACTCAATATTGAACCACATTCAAGCCTATTATAAAACATTTTCATTAATTTGATTTTGGCTCTTCATTGAGCCAATCCTCTTGCTGATTTGCTTGAGGCCAATTCAGCCACATCAATTCATACTCTTGTGAGCTCAATCCAAGTCCATGCGAGCCCACACAAGCCAATCCCATAAGCTTCACTTGGTTGAGCTTGTCTTTGCCTTTAACCACCTTCCCATTGGCTCTCCTCAAAACCTCCTCAACTGATTCCGATAACCAACCCAACGGCAAGGCGAAGTGGGCACATGTGCCAAACCGTGACCATGGCCATTAAGCCAAGCTCACCATGACTCGAAATTCACCATGGCAGAACCACATTGGAAGCTCCATCCACTTGGCTCACCTTCACTGGTCACTCTCAATTGACTCAGCTCCACCTCACTGATCCATGGCAGATGAATTACACCAATAGAAGCGACACCCCTACCCCTGGCTGAGCCTATAAATGGAGCTCATTCTCGGGCTCAAAGAAGAAGCAACCATTTCCATGGACAAGCTAAACCTCCAAAACAACTCCTTAGAGCTCCAGCATCCTCCCTGTATCAATTCCACTATTCCAAGACCATAATTCTATCATTAGAGCACTCACCCGATCCACGACACATTAAATTCTCACTGTTTACAGTTCGATTCATCAATCCAATACTTCTACTACCTTCCCCGAGTGAGGAAACCACTTCCACATATGAATTGCACAAGCTCTGAGCTCTCTGGATTATTGTTTGCTTGAGGAGCATGCGGGCTCGATCAATTTCATTCACGGAGGCTTCTGAACTTCAAATTGGGACTTGGAGCATACTTATTGAATCATTATGAAGCTAATACTATGATTGGATTGAGAAGATCACCACCGAATTGAGGTATATTTCTACTTTTCTTAATTCACTCCAGTTTTGGACCTTTGGAAATAAAGTTGCATGATAATTGATCTTGACCATCATATTTGTAGAGCTTCATGAGATGAAGCTGTAGCATTTTGAATTTTTGAATTTCATTAAGAAATGAAGGAGATCTACGCACATTTGTGCAAACGGTGCTCAATTCACGTCCCAAATGGGACGATGAACCAATGTCATCCATTTTATTTTATTTAAAACGGATGTCTCGGATTAACTCGGAAGGATATGGTGTTGTTCGGGTCGTGCACGGGATCGAGAAGGCGTAGCTGACGAGGAGTTGAGGTGGTCGCGACAATGATTAACAGATGAATCAAAGTCAAATGCGTGGAAAAATGGCTGACGAGTCAGATGGCACGACATTTATTAAGTAAGAATTTTTTTTTCAATTAATAAAAACCTTTTAATTTAACACAATTTTAAAAAATCATACGAAATTAAAGAAAAATGAAAAAAATAGAAAATAATGTGTCAGATTCAGGAAAACTAGGAGAATTTAATAAAAATAAAACCAGAATATAATAACATCAAATAAATTTTAAATGATTTTTAAACTATTAAAGCAACAATAAGACAACATTTAAAATATAAATCAAAATAAAATGAAATTACATCTGGTTAAACCTCTTGACCATATGATATTTCTGTAATTTTCTCATAAACAAAAAAACTATGTTGGTTACTTAAATGAAATTTTCATGGGATTTTGCATTTATTGAAATAAATAATTCTAGAAATTAAAATATATTTTGAAAAATTACAGAATAACTTCTGAAATAGGGTGATCATTTTATTCATTTAGATAGTAATTTTGAGTATTGTACGATGTTTTTAAATTTTTTTAAGAAATGTATGTTTAAAAATATTATATTTATACTTTAAAATTTCTTTTAATCAAAATTGGATTATAATAGGGGATAAATTGGTAAAAAAATTATAATTAAACCTTACTGGGAAGAATGAAACATAATGGGTTAGTTAGAACTTTAATCAAATCAATAAAACATGCAAAAGGTTATAAGTGTAACTAGCAAATTGTTAAAAATTTGAAACTTTAAAATGCTTGGATGATTAATTGGTGGGCAATATTGTTTAGAATTGTTTAATTTACTGATTAAGACCTTCCATCATAATTTGAATGGTTTTGCATAATAATTTACATGAAAATTAATAAAATTGATAATTTTGCAAAAATATCTTTAAAATGAACAAATAAAAATGATTAAGTTGAAGACTCTGATTCAAATGACACTTAAAATCATAAATGTATAATTTTGATTAATATTGGAACTAATTTGAAAGTAAGCATTGGTAAGTTTGTAGTTTTTTCTTTTAAATTTACAAATTTACCTTTACTTAACTTTAATTCATTAAATCAAAATTTAATTGAATAAAAATATTGAAATTTATGGTATAACTTGAACTTGATAAGCAAATAATATACTAATTAATAGATATATAGTGAATTTTGAAAGTTTTGAAAGTAATTTAGGATAGTATTGTTATTTTCTTCAAAATTGCAATATTATTTTTATTACACTAGGAACTTCAACATGAACTATATATAATTCAAAAATTACTAAAATTTAAAATGAAACTCTTAAATAAAACAAAAATAACAAAACACTGCAAAAATGTATAAATTTAAAGTTAGTTTTGAGGTAAATTTGTAAATTTCTTCACTCACTAATGCAACCCAAATAATTGAACCAAATTAATCAACTGAAGATAAATCATTAAAAAAATATTTCCAACCTAGGTAGAAATGGTTGAAGTATACATAAGATATTTACAAACAAACATTTCTCAGTAAAACTTACATAACTTTCTTTATAGAACTTCAAAATCACTGAAGTCCATAGGTTAATTGAACTGAAAGAAGTTGAAAAATATAAAATTCACTTTGATTGATTACTTTTTAATAATTTTCTATTAATAAACCTATTCATAAGTTCAAGAATTCATGAAAAATCTAAAATAAACTTGAAATGACTTGTAAAATTCTGATGTTGTTTGGAATCATATTCCAAACATTTCAGTAAATTTCAAGTGTTTTGGATATCCTTTCGATTTATTATAAATTTTTAAATAAAATCACCTTCAAAATTAAAATAATTCTAATAAATCAAATAAAATGCAAAAATTCATAAAATTTTAACATAAAGCTTTTCAACTTGATATCCATCCACAAAAATTATTTTTATATTATTTTGAAATCATTTAAGTCAAAATATCTAAAACCCTAAAAAACACAAAATTTTCAACAAAACAATTTATAAAAATTCACAAAACAACCAAAATTTCTAAAAAATGTAATAATTGAGTTTATAAGAATCATATTCACTTCACCCGAGGATTGATGAGATCTTATAAGTTCTAATAATGTTAAACATTGATATATGCCTTCAAAAAAGCATATAAATATATTTAATAATAATGATAATATAATGATGAAAATAAAATAATAATAATAATAAACAATAATAATTAACTATTTGGGTTTACGAAGACTTCTTGGTCGATACAACCCATGATTGCTGACAAAAGTCTTATGGTCTGAACAGGTTTAAGTACCTCTTTAAGTTATGTAAATCCAAAACTAACAGCAGTACCAGAATGACAGAACCATGGGATCTTGACCGGTGTTGCATAAAATAAAATTTAATTAGTTATCATCAATCACTTCAATAATCGCTTCCATCATGATGAACACTAACCTAAATTTGTTTCACATGGCTTCTATAAGTAAATAATAAGAGCCTAGAATAGCCCTTTCGAGACATGATTTTCTTCTTCTATTGAGTCATTTTCCTTATAGAGTTAGGCAGTGTTGTGGTTAGTTAATAATCAAGATCTGAGATATCCAAAAAAAGACGAAACACGAAGCGAAGGGTAAACCTCAACAAAACCATCAACGTTGTCTCAAATGACGTTGATTAATAAATCGTAATCTTTTAAAATTTCGAGATTGATCGTCTGGTACGACGTAAATCCTCACACATTCTTAAATTTTTGCAAGATTGTAAGTCATGCAATTAAGTCCTAAATTTCTAAATAAATTGTAGGTTTGCAATATCAAATAACTTCTCTTTCAAAGAATTAAAGTCAAACCATAAGTTAATTTAAGATGTCACTGAGGTTTCTTCGATCTCTTAGACATCTCTTACTATTCATTCATTTGGATTCCAGAAATAATTGTTCCACATTGAGTCTTTTTCATTTGATTTTCCTACAATCAATCATGGAAACTAAACTTCGAATTCTTAAAGACGAAACCATAATCTTAATCGAGAGTTTTCTTCAATGATCTTAGTGGATGCAATCAAATTTTCAAGAGATAATTATTCATTGTGTTTCTAATCAACCGCAAGATCATTGTTTAAATTTTATGATAGATATTATTTATTTGTTTTTTTTTTAGATTTTTTATTTTGATCTTTTCGTAATATAGATCATTTAATTTTGATTTTAAAAGTATTGTTAAGTGGTTTCATCTTAAATTATTTGCATCAAATTTTTTAATCATTGGTAAGTTTTTCATTACATGTGAGCTGTCTAGAATAGTTTCATTAATTTTTTTGACTTGCGTCATTAGCTTAGTGTCGCAAAAAAACTAAATATGATTGGCATTGGCTCATGTAAAACAATACATAGGTAGTAACCAATCAACTCCTTTATTGCACTCATCTCAAAACAAATCCACGGACTTAAAAGCATGAACAAATTTTAATTAGGAAAGACCATATCTTAACCCCATTGCCTTTGCCTCAATACTTGTCATTGTACTGCCCCCCTTCAAAAAACTATCTAACCAAGAAATAAGCACTGTAGTATAAAAAAATATACTGTAATCCAAAAATTCATGAGAAGAAAAAGTTAAACCAATTGTGATTTACCATAGCTTTTCATTTTATGCCAGAGAAAAACAAAGCAAAAAGAATGCCAGGTGCTCAGTGAAAAGGAAACTGGTGAATTAATACTTCTGATTAAGCATAAATTTTCACCTACAATTTGCTCCAAAACTCAAGAAATAAAAGAACACTTTACTTACAAAATAAAGCAGAACAGGATGCATGTCCCACAAAGTTGTGTGTTCTTTCACAAAGGATGTCTCACGGACCAATCTGAATCTTGACGGATCTATAAATTATCAACAAAGTCGCGACAGACATTAGATAAATTTTTCAGAAACACATTAACAGTAGGAATTGATGCATTAAAGATTGAACATACGAAAAAGAATTTAACTGCTAGAGTTAAGTTCGTCTGCGGCCAAAATGTGTGTTGATGAGTACTAAATGATTAGAGAATATTAAAAATAAGGGAATTTTACGTAAGTACCACTCAAATCCTCTGTGTTTACATATACAACACCTAAACTTCAATTTTTACATATATGTCACCTTACCTCTGCATGACAACGTGTATTTTGACTTCTTAAAATTAAAATTGTGATATTTTTTATGTGATATAAAAGATTTGGGCAGTATAAATACATACATAAGAATTAGCTGATATGTAAATGCCCCTACAACAAAATAAGTCATTAATAGCCAACTAGCTTGGCAGAAACAATAATTTTAAGATAGGTATGCAATAAAACTAAGAAAGATATTATATTAGTAGGAGGATTAGGTAAAAGAATAATAAAGTGAGAAGCATATTTAGATGGCTTAAAAGTCTACAAAACAAGGCAAGATATACACCAACAATAGAAATAGACATTATTAGCATGCGCGATAATTAGGAAGGTAACCTGGTTAAAACTTGTGCAAAAAGCCATGCAACATAAAGTTGAGACCATAAATGAAACTCAATAATAATTAATTGAGTGTGGGAACTCATAAATCCACCAATAATGATGACTTT